TTTTGCATATTTTGCATTTTTAGTAATTTTAAAATGCATAATTTTTAATTTTGCATCGCACGAACCCGTGGGCTCTATTCTGTTGTTAATTCTCAGGATATTTTCAATATTTTTCGGAAGGTAAAGTTTATTTTGATTGAAAGTCAAAATAACAAACAAACCAAACGAGTATTTATTAATTTTTGATTCAGGTTTACTGTAAGTTGAACCGGAAATAACTAATATTTATTAACGCCCATGATAAAAAATGATTTCGTTAGCCATCAATTTTTTTTAAAAAAAAATTTTTCACATTTCTCTAAAAATTAAAATTGAATTATAAACAATTTAACACAGCCCGTTGGCTTCCAAAGCATCTAAAAGCATTAATGAAATAAAAGCAATTCATTTTATCAAAATTTAATTTACGTGACAGTAAAAACAACGAAAACTAGCTTGAACATTTTGAAAATTTTCGAAAAGATATGACTGATTCAAATCCACAAGAGGAGACATAAATTTCAATCAGTTTATTCGGACATATTAGAAAATCATGTGGACAAGTTATATTGCTGCTATGAAAAAAAAAGTGGAAGGAATATAAAGCTTTATCAATGTATTTAACGAAAATCTTTTTCAAAATTTTATAATTATTAACACACATATTATCAAAGTCTTTTATTATATTTAAAACTTGTTTAATATATTCATTGATAAATAATTTCCAGTACGATTTTCAAATGATATATCCGGTATTGATATTTTCCTGGAAAATGCAACTCCGGTAGTAAATCCAGTAAAATATCGTATCGATGTGTATTATCATGGGCGAATGATTAGTAAATTACTTTTTAACTCATTGCGACTCTCGTATAATCACAATGACGCGTTTTTTGTATATTTACGCAATGAAGTTTGATAGAAATCTTGATGATAGTTTGTGATACTTCGAACTTTGAAAGTTTGATGAGCAACGAATTTATAAGAGATCCGTTTTGTATTCTCTGTCAAAAAAAAATCGTTTTTACTAAAGCAAAATGTCAATTTATAATATTTATAATATAATTAATGACCTCGACTTTACTGATCAGGAAAAAACCAAATTACGCTCTTATTTCTTTAAAAATTCTGATAAAGTAGATAAAGCGATGGAAATACTTGATACTTGTCAAACGCCTAAGGCGAAACTTGACTTTATGAGGGAAACTTTCTTGAAATCAGGTATGATCAAAAATAACGTAATTAAACATTTTAATATTCGTACATATTAACTAACTTTGCCTTTTTTGGTCTTTTAACTCAATTTAGATGAACATCAAGGTAAGCCTTTGCGTCGTCAATACGAATGTGACACTTACCGCATCTGCACTGTGACATTAACTCAAAATTATTTTCATTCCTTAGGAATCAACGAAAAAAGAAAATTTTCTGAAGAATGTAAGAAAGTGTAATAACTCCTTTTTTGAGTACATTCTATCATTCTCACTAATTCTTTTGTTTGATTAGTTAGAGCATTCTCAATACCCAATAAAAAGAAATTTTCTATCAACAGTACAATAATGCCGTGGGAACGTAAAAATGTCTATTTCGTGGACCCGGCTGAAAATAACGAAAAATTAATCGAATTAATTTGTGAGGGTGAATACGTGTTGTTACACGGTCCACGTGCTTCCGGGAAATCCACACGAGCATTACGAGCAATGGACCAGCTGGAAGAAATCGGATATCTTTGTATTTAGTAAGCGAATTTAATTGTTGCATTCTTGAGCTGTAGAATTGATTTAGATGATAATTATTCTTATTTCTCCATTTCTGCCAAATAGTTTTGCTTTTAGCTATTTATCTGCCGATGTTGATCGCTTTTGGAAAACTGTTGCCAGAGGTATCAGGCGGGAACTTGTTAAAAAATACAAGGATAGGATTAAACTAGCGGAATCCACATCTTATGAATCTTATAATATACCCGATATGGAAACAATAGAGGACATAATGGATGTATTTGCTGTAAATGCAGAGATTTGGAATCATTTATATGATGGGCGTAGCAAGAACATAATTCTTTTCTTTGACGAATTAGATACTTTACTTACATCCAGACTCAAGGAAGTCTGCAACTCGTTCTTATCTAATCTTCGTGTTATTAAAACCGGTCCTTCATACGTAATAAAATCCGTTATTGGAATTGGGACTTTCAGCATTTTAAGTTTGAACCAGTCAGATCGGTCTTTGTCACCATTCAATATTAACGATGCATTTGCAAATCCGAATTTCACCAAAGGACAAGTAAAGATTATTTTCAAGGATTTTATGAACGACCGTGACTTAAACATCGATGATCGGATCATAGATGATATCTACGCATCGACGAATGGGTATGCAAAGTTAGGGTCTGACTGGTAATTATGTAAATTCCAAATTTTCATTTTTATTTTTATTTTTATTTTTTAATAGACATGCTGGTCTTGTAAATCTGTGCGGACGTGAGGTTGAAGAAATTAATGGAGAATATTCATCATGGATACTTTACAAAATCAAGAATTTGGGAATGGAAATTTCCAATTATGCAACGTTTGCGAGATTGATCAAATCTTTAAAGTCTGACGATGCACAAGAAGCCATGACTCTACTTCGTACTAGATTTCTTGGTTCCCTTGATACTGAGGAAATCACGGATTATGATGAACTTGCATTAGTCAAGTTTCTGATATCCGAAGGTGTCTTGATATATGAAGGAGACTTTCGAAATTCAAATAAGTTTCGAATGTCTTCTCCGATTATAGATTTACTCATTCGAAGATATATCATTCCTGGTTTATACCCATCTTCTCCAATGAATAAAGTTCCCCTGCGAAATGACGATCAACTGGACACTTTAAATATTTTGAAGGAAGTACTCTGCTACTTCGATAAAGACATCATCCAAATGGGATCTTCTCGATCGTTCAAAATTGCATCAGGTCGTGTTAACGGCAAGACTAAAATGCGAGTTCCACGAGAAAGCACTTACGAAAATGAGTTATATAGGATCCTTGTAAACTGGCTCTGTAAGGAAGGTGCTGAAATAACAGGACAATGGCACCTAAAGATAGATTGTAATGACAAATACTGTGATTTAGTGGTTAGAAAGAAGGATCAAATAATACTTCTCGAATTATTGGCAACGCCAACAAAAGGACAACTTGATGAACATTATGATCGCGTACTTATTTATGCAAAAAGTCTTTTCGCGACTGAGACATGGATCATCAATTTTACGTGTGAGGATGATGCTGAATTGTACCCTCATTGGCCGTCCGATAAAGCATTGGAGAGCGGTGTTCAAGTTGTATATTTCAAACATAATCCTAGCAATTTCACACAAGTAAATATGGTCACATGTTCATGGGATACGATTGGTAAAAAACGCGATATTAGATTTAAAGTGATTGAGGTGCGTTTCATACTTTACTTTCATTGCGAGTAATTCTCTGCCAATCTTGCATTTATTCTAACAATCTTTGCTTGATTTTTAGATCCATTAGCTGACATAAAAATTGTAATAGAAAGGAGATAAAGTTGCTATTTGCGTTTATGGGCTTCTAGTGTTTTATTCGTAATATTTGTATTTGTTTGACGTATAAAAATTAAATAATAATACAAGCACTGACAAAAACAAAATCGTATGATTGCTTTATCTAAACAACAATACAAATAACTTTCACAAAATGATAAATGCCATAAAAACCAAACAAATCGCTATTACGGATTTTATAGCTGTTTTTTTGTCTATTTATTGCAAAATCAAAGAATTGTATTTTAGCAAACAATCGATAGAAGTATGCATTTTATGGTTTTGTTTTGCTTTAAACCTAGGGTTACACGTGTGCACCATATGGGTGGTATGCTATTAAAATTGAGGTACGAGATATAGTAAATCATAAGATCCGTACCTCAATTTTAAGAGCACTCTTATCCTAGACCCCCACTTCCCTTAAATATGATTGGTTCGCATCAACCACATTATATTTTCGTGTAACATTTATCTTAGAAAATATTTTGTCTATTTTTGCATTTCGCGCAGACTTTTAAATATTAAAAAATAGAAATTATTCTGTATTTATATGCACTCTAAAACATTAAAGAATAATAAGATTTTTTAACGATAAATCATAATGAAATTACTTTAATATTTTAATATAACAATTGTAAAAGTTACTGTTTAACTTGGAAATACAAGCTTTATTAAAATGAAAATTTATTTGCCAAAAATCAATGTTAGAATTAATAATTATATTTTATTATTAAATGCTATAAAACGCGCTTTGATATTATCACAAAAAAATCAATAACTCCACAACCATTCAAGATAGACCCACGAAAATTATTGTGCAAGTATTTCCATACCGCTGAACAAATCTTTTATTTGTTTTCTTTGACCATAATGTTCAAATTACACCTTGAAAATAAAAAAATAAAACACATTTCAATAATATTACAAAAAAATAATAACTCCACAACCATTAAAGTTAGACTCGCAAAAAATTAATATGCAAATATTTCCATACTGCTGAACAACTTTACTTATGCATGTTTCGCTTATTTAGTTTGACCAAAATGCTGAACTTACGTTGTGAAATCCCTATACAATACGAAAAATGCGTTTGTTATGAAATTACTTATGAAAATGTCACAACTTTATAATAATATTCTACACCTGAAGTCCTGAACTGCTGTTAAAGTTTTATTAATTAACAAAACTTTTAAAATATGTTTTTAAAATATGAAAAAGGGAGAAAAAATGGAAGAAAAAAGATTTATTAAATAACTAATGTGGCTAATGATGATGAACCAATCAAATTTAGGGGGTCTAGGATATTATCCTAGATACGGGGGTCTAGGTTAAGATTCCCCCAATTTTAATTGATAATTAATATTAATGAAATAAATAGTTGATCTTTCTTTTTATATAATTACTTTTATATAGTTAATTACTTACTTTCTAAAAACAAATTTCTATTAGGTTAAATAAAATTATTAAAAAAACCTCTATTATATTTATATACAGTCAAACCTTGATATAGCGAACCCTTGATATAGCGAATTTTTAAATCAAATATATTAAAATTACCTTTACTATAGTGAACTAGCCAATTAAATTCTTTAAAAAATTGTTATAAGCTTATAACGAAGTTGATATTCAGATCCTAGAATTCGTTATATCAAGAGTTCACTGTAATATAGTATTTTTATAATTAAACCATTTAATTTTATTTTGGAAGATGTGAGTATAAAAAGATCAAGTGTATATTAATATAAAAAAAGAGTTGTAATAATACATTGTAATTTAAAAAACTATTGAATTTTTATTCCTTATGATTTAAATAATATTAATAACTTTAAATAGTTAATTTCTATTAAAAAAAAACATTATTATTAATCATAGAACAAATATTCTTAATAAAATACAATGATATTTTAATGTTAAATTAATTACCTTAGGTTTTGAAAATTTTAATGTTAAAGTGTAAAGTAATAAATTATTATTTAATTAAAATTAATTTTATAATATAAAAAATTTGTATTGATTTTATAATAAATTTTAATATTAAATTAATGTAAATAATGATTTAATATAAAGTAAATATTTCTGATAATTGTGTGATATTATAATAACCTTACTTATTTAGAAAAAGAATTGTATAAAAGGAATGAACAAAATAAGATAAACCTATATTTTTATTATATATAATTAAACAAAAAAATTAATATTTTAAATACTATCTTAGTACTAGTTTTAATATTAGAAAATATATTTAAAAAATAATAAAATATTAAAATTATAGCAAAAATAATATTAATAATAATATTTTTCAATAATTTTTCTTTCAAATTTAAAAGAAATTTTACTTAATACTTTATAGAAACTCTAAAAATTCTAATAATAATAATCCAATATTGAAATAATATTAATTATTAATTAAATATCAAATTAATATTATTATGATATTTATATTAATCCAATATTATTAAGATATATTTATGATATAAATCAATAATAATATTAATATTTTAATGATAATAATTTAATATTAATTTGATATTATTAATTTAATGTTAGTTTATAGAAAGTGATCAAAATTATCTGGCCAATTTATTTTTGCCAAAATTATGCAGAATATACAGCTAATATTATATAAAACACATTTTTATTTACTTAAAATTATAATAAAATAAGTTTTAAATAAGTGATTAGATCCTTTTTATTTATTATTATCCAATTTGTGAATAAACAGATAAATCTTGATATTCAAATCTTTTCACATTTTATTTAAATATTTGTAATATTTGTAAAAATCTGGATATCTTGTATTTAAAAGATATTTGGATAAACTTATATAGGTCTAATAATATATTATTATATTCTAATATTAAAAATAAAGATATATAAAAAAATACATTATCAGAATATTATAAAATTAATCAAAAGTATGACCTTGAGAATTAAGGTGATTATTACCATAAATAAAAATAGAATAAATTATTAATTATTTATTTTTTTGTAATATTCAATAATAAAGTAAATATAAATATATTTGTTAATATATTATTTATTTCAGCTTAAAAAATGGCTGGATAAATTTGATAGTTCTTTGTAATATTTTTATAATATATTTAATAATATTATATTAAGATTAAAATAATATCTTAATGATAAATTTACAAAAATATTAATCTTTATTATTATGATAATGATTTAATATAAAATCTATATCATATATTATGAATTTTATATTAAATTATTATCATTCAGCCAAATAGGATCATACTGATTTTCATATATTGATATTTTATTATGCGAAGTTAGTGATACTACCTAAACATTTTTTTGAAAAATTATAGTTTCGTCAAAGTTTCGTCTCTTTAATATTTTTATATGAATAAATATAAAATTATTATGTTTTTTAATGTATTTTAATTCAAGGAATTTAGATCAAGTTAAATATGATCAACTCTCTATAAATGCATTCCCCTTGGGACTGACATGAATGTGCATTTATAGAGGGTGTGCATTTATAAAAAAATATGCATTATTAAAGAATTTATATCATTTATATTAAAATAAATAAACAAAAAATAAATGAGTTTAAAAATACTATTTTATTATATGTATTTTAATAAAGTAATTATCAATTAAAATACTGATCAATAGTAGTTTGCTGCATCATATTTATCTTTTTTTTTCTAATAAATTTTTCAATTGTATTTACCAATTTCATACACTTATTTGCATCATTTTGTTGAAGAAGAAATGTATGAATATTTTTTAAACTTTTTAATACTACATTAATGTTAATAACTGGAACTTCAGAACTATCATCCATTTTATCTAAATTATTAGTATTTTCTTCATTAGACCTCTTAAAAGTATTTACAAGATCCGCTATAACTTGTTTATCTTCAAGAATTTCAAAAACAATATCTTCTTCAGGAATGGTAAGAAATTCTTCTACTTTCATTGTATTAGAAAAGTGAAGAGCTTTAAGTGTATTGTAAAGCTCTTCAAGTATTAAATCATCAATTTCATCATCTAATTCAATATTAGAATTAGGAGAAAAAATTTCAGTATGATGCCAATAATTTTGAATTGTTTTAGTTGTCACTTCATTCCAACCTTGAATGATATTTTGGATTGCTTGTAAAATATCCATTTTTAAATCTTGTATATTATAACCCGCCTTAACTTGTTCTAATATCCAACTAAAAAAAAAAATATTATTAATAAAATATTTAATAAATTCTCTGTTTTAATAAAAGTTTTCAATAAAATTTAATATAAATAAAATTTACCGAATATGATGATGATAATAATGTCTTTTAAAAGACATAATAATTCCAGCATCTATTGGTTGAATTTTGGAGGTTGTATTAGAAAGTAAAAAGTAAATTTCAACATGTGAAAGAGTTAAACCTTGTAATTTGTGACTTGGATAATTATCAAGTAATAACAATACGTGTTAGCCATTATGTTTATAAGAAACTTGATAATCAAACTTTTGTAACCATTCTTGAAATAAGGTTGTAAGCATCTAAGCTTTTGGATTACTTCAATACGTCATTTTGAGATTGAAAATATTGACGTTTTTAAAACATCGTAGTTTGGCAAACTTTCTAATTATTAAAGAAATAGTTTATGTGACCCATTAGCATTTGTACATAAGGCAACAGAAAGGCATTCCTTATTTTTTTACGTCCAGAAAGACGTTTTGTAGCTAAAGTTTTATCTGGTTCCAATTTATATAAAAAAAATATAAATTAATATTATAAGTTACTATTTTAAATTATGAATAAATTTTATAATAATAATAAAAATACATATCGGTAAAAAAGTCTAGTTTCATCCATATTATAAATTCGTTTAGAAGGATAATTGGCATATTTATTTTGTAACAATAGTAATGCTTCAGCAATATTATCTTGATTAACAGATGCTGCTTCCCCATGAAGATTTTCCTGATGAATCCCATTTCATTTTTTAAATCCTTGAAGCCAACCAGAAGAGAATTTCAAAACCTCTTCAGGAATTTCCAACCTATTTGCTAATAATTTAGCTTTTTCAGTTAATATTGTATCACTTAATATTGATGTTGATAATTTAAAATGAACTCCTTTAAAGCAAGTTCAAGTTCAAGAAAGATGATAGATTTATTTCATTTCTGTTCTGGATGGATAACTTCTGTGGCAAGTCTTTTATTTGAGTTTTGTAAAATTCATATTATTATAGACTCATTAACCCTAATACCACATTTTTTTCAATCCAATTAATATATTTAGTTTGAGTTAACTTGTGCTTATTAGCATATAGGCAAAGTTCATATTTTTGAGAGCTTGAAAGTGTTATTTTTTTTGTAGAAGACGCCATATTAGAAAAAAAGAAAAATATAAGAACGCATATAGTTTAATTTTAAAATAAAAGACACGATGAATTGATAAAATAATGTTTGTGGTATTAATTTAAACAAAAAAAGAAATGGCATCATGAAACAAAAAAGGATAGTATCATATACACGATATCAAACAAAAAAGGCAACATTTTTTAAATTTTTTAAAATTAACTGCGAAATTGAAGTTGCATTAGAAGTTGGGAGTTAAAAGTGGAGTTGAAGGTTGGAAGTGGAATTGGGAGTTGAGAGTTGGAAGTGAAATTGGGAATTTAGAGTTGGAAGTTAGAAGTTAGAAGTTAAAATTGAGGATTGGAATTGTAAGAATTTGGAGTTAGAGTGGAGTTGAAGTAGAGTTGAAGTGGAGTTGTTGTTGCTAAAAGTTGTTGGAGTTAGAATTGTTTAAAAGTTTGGAGTCAAAAGTTGGAGTTGGAAGTTGTTGAAATTGGAAGTTATTGAAAATTTGAAATTTGAAGGTTATGAAGAACCTCTGATAAGAAATTACTAAATACCTTTCAGATTAATCGGAAAAAATGAAGGCTAAAAAAAGGAAAGTATACTGTACTTCTTTTAATTTTATTTTAGTTTTAAAATGATTGAATTTGCTTACTACTGGTAACTGTTCATTTTTTTTTAGTATGAAAATATTACGCTGAGAGATAATCGATGATGAGATATTTCAGTAAAAGTCACATGGTTATATTATGCATAGTCACGTGAGTGCATTTAAGAAGATACTTACTTATATAGTTTGAACTAAAAAATCATTGTATAATACGAATATGGAGGGTGTGCATTTAGCATTAAGTTTCAAACTTGGGATCGGGCTAGTGAGTGCATTTAGATAGGGTATGCACTTATAGAGAATGCATTTATAGAGAGTTGACTGTATAATTTCAGCAATTAAGTAAAATAATTTTGTCATTAATAAAAAACTAGTTTCGTCATTTCAGTTTTGTCAATTTCATGATATTAAGAAAAATAATTTTGTCAGGTATCACTAATCTTCTCTGATCCAAAGAAATGCTAAAAATCTTTAAATTCCTAAAAGATCACTATAGCCACTAATAGATCAAGCTATACTAAATTCCATTCTATACATATTATTACTACTCCAAACATTTTATCTGACAACCTAAGTTTTGGATTCTGATATTTTAACCATAAAAAGTTTATTTACTTTATCTGAATGTATAACTACTCTTAATAATCTTAGAATTAATTTATTTAATGAAAAAGAATTAGAATTTTACACAAATAGATCTCATAGATTTTTACCATCTCCTTTACATATTTATATTAGTTCTACTTATGTTATAGTTTACGACATTTTAGATATTAGTTTTGCTGCTGCTTTGTCTCCTCTTTGGACTAACTCTACTAATGCTAAAATTTTTACTCTTCTAATGATTATTTTTGTCTGTCCTTTTAGTTCTCTTGTTAAAATTAATACTGATAGTTTGTTAATAATTCTATCTTACAATAGTTTGCTACAATTTAATATTTATTACTACAATCTTTACTATTTAAAACTCCATTTTATGTATATGGATATTTTATATTTAAACTTTTCAAATAAAAACAGATAACATTAACTTTGGTTAAAATTAAAACCTATTCTGATGAACCTTATAATGACAAAATAGACAGTTGGCAAAATCTGCTTTTCACAATTTTCCTATTTCTCTCTCTTTCTTTCATATTCCCTTTCTCTTTTTATTTCTATCTTTTAATCAAATCCTTATTATAAGAACATTAGATTCAACTACATATTACCAGAAAAAATCCTAGCGTAAAATCATTCTTACTAGAGAGGAGTACTATAATCATTTTTAAAGATGTATGTATCACATCTGAGTTCATCTAAAAATAAATAATACTATTCTTCACATATAGTATTATTTAATTCTGGTAGTTTACATAAAGATATTTTCAAAATCATTAGGCACTATACAAAAATGCATTAATAATTATTAATAGCTACCTATAAAAGAAAGAATTTATTATATTTGATTTAGTTAAGTCTGAGAAAAAAACTCTTGCAATTTGGCTAAAGTTTAACATATCATTGAACTTATAAAAGAAGATAGAGATAAGGTAAAGATGCAAGAAAAAAAGTACTCAAGTAAAGATGCCAGCCGAAACTCCCTCAAAATAATTTCGTCATATCCCTTACTATGTTTTTAATATAGTTTCGGCTAATTTCGGGTTTCGGGGTTTCGTCGTACCCCTCACTATGTTTTAATATAGTTTCGGCTGTTTATTAATTGCCTTTTTTGAGTTTCGTCCCTCATCTTTATACTCAAGCTAATTCATTATTTTTTTAAGATACACATTTCTTAACGAATAGAATCTAATATCATAGATGCAAGTTTTTTTTCTGCCTTCTGTATTTGCATCTTCAGATCATCAATCTCACATTGTAATTTCTTATTTGCCTAATCTGCATATTTTACTCTTAATTTACATCTCATATAAACTTTTCAAAAATCTTTTATTATAATCAATTAGGTACTAGGATAATACTTTAAATTAGTTCATAACCCAGCGATTGTTTTCTTTTTTGTAATTACAGGTGATATTATTAGTTTGGATTCTATTATCTGTAACACATACAATTAGCAAAGTTAAGAATGAAGGGCACTCTAGCTAACTTTGGGTTTATTTCTGACACATTGATCTTTTTAGCTTTTTGATATCTAATAGCTTCATGTTTTAAAAACAATTCTACAATTGGATTAATTTCACTAGCCTTTATCTTGAATAATCGTAATGTTAAATGTATCTATGCCTCATTTATTAGAAAAGCTGGTAATTTCGTTAATAAGTTAGAATATAACTGATTAAATATCATTATATATTTAATATATTTATATATTGTACAAAAAATTGGAATTTCATGAAATTTTAAAAATAGACTGCTTTATTATATTAGTACTATAGCATTATTACCTGAGAAATTTACTACTAAAAATATTTATGTGTCAATGTTATGATACATCTGGAAGATTAGCCAGAATTATTAACTCTAATCAAGACAAAATCACTTACATATTATAATTTGTAATGCTGATCACTTTTGTTAACATTAATACATAGTCACATTTTTCATGATACAGATGTTAACTTTGCTAACAATTCATTTTTCAATTGCTTATCTTTCAATTTCACAACTCTAGCCTTAAGCTTAATGTTTTCAGCCTTAATTTTATTGTTCTCAGCCTCAAACTCAATAATGTATTCTTTTAATAAATCAATCTTATTGAAACCATATATTTCAGATTGCATGCTTGTATAATATAATATTATTTATGCTAAGTATATTAATTATTCTAAAGCAAACAATTACACTTTTCTGAAACAGCTCATCCTAGAAATTTACTAAGAAAATTTTATTATAAAATTAAATACAAGATTCGGAAACTTACCTATAAATATATGAATATTTTTATGCTAAAATGCACAAAATAATCTCTATATTAACTATTTATTATATGGGGGTATGGAAATGATAGGACTTGGGTTAACATTGCAGAACAGATGAGAGGTAACTTGTTTTAATGCCTGTATTAGAAGACTCTTATTCATGATCATTACATTTTTTAAGGTTAATAGTAAATGATTAAGAGATTTCAAGTGTGACTGATGAGGGAATAATGAAATTTTTGCATAATCTAGATAGTAATATCTTGGTATACCAGTCAGGTCCTTCACAAGAACATTCAGATACATGGTTGTATCTGCGACTTGAATCCCTATAATTCTAAATTGATTTCTGACCGGTCTACATAATGCACTTACAAAACTTACACCATCCAATATTTTCCTTATAATTTTACATCATCATCCACTTATTTGATTTACTACATATGATACATGATAATTTGGTATACATTAGCTCAACAATCTTTTCATCTTATTTCAGCAAGCCCATAACATCAGATTTCTTCCCTATTTTCTCTTCATTTATTCCAAGATTTCACCAAGCTTTACTTGCTATACTTTAACGTTCTGCAGTGCTTAAACAGATGCCACCATTTGAAAGGTTAATCAAACTTGCCCAAAGAAATAGAATTATAATATCTGCAACATATGTTCCTTCACTCTGATGTACTAGTCATAAATGCCAGGTTATTCTATATTTCGTTACTGATAAAAATGCATTAAGAATATGTGAAAAAAATCATATACCAATTTTTAGATTTAAGAAAACATGCTCTCATCATCTTTCTGACTTTTATCATGGAAGATATTTCGCATAACTTGTGAATTATTCAAATTGTTAAAATAGCTTATAAATTCTTCACATTTCATTATAACAGAATTGGGTAACTAAACCCACTCTTGTATTCAGTGGTTTTATTTCGACAAATATTAATTCAACAAATTTTTAGGATTGATAGTTCTTATTGTAAAGTCAGACTATGAGCCAGAAAGGATAGGATTGAATTGTTTCATCACCTGAGCTGATGATTTTGTTGTCTTGTTTGCCCTAAGCCCATATAGAAATATAATGACAAATAAACAAATATGTTTATTTTATACTATACAAACTTCATTTTAGATATGTACCAGTCTATGTTCATTTTTTTGCCTTCTGGAAAAAACGGCTTGATCACAGGGCCAACATAGTTGTGAGAATGTGTATCCTCATTTTCATTATTTTTGACAAATGAACTTTGATAACGGTCAACTCTAAAATATGCAGGACTTGTATTATGATGTGTACTTGTAGAATTCTATTATAATATGCAATTTTAGTGATACACAAATTAAAGAGTATATTGTGCATTATTTCTTCGAGTTCTCCATCCGCCTATAGTTTCTTAGAAGATGCTTAATTTCGGATCGACGTCTTTGTGGGTCTTATTCCTGAGACGCGATCAATGTATAATAACTCAAATAATTAAACTGTATATATTCCATTAAAAACTCTAAATTCACTCACTACCTTCACAATTGTTCCACATAAATTGAGAACATGTTCTGGAACATTGATATTGTGTGCGAACCTCCGAAAAGATACATTGCCATGGTTCATCATCAAAATATTCATGAAGTCCTTGCGGATTCTCTTCTTGGAAAAGAAATATATGGTTTAGGGTCCTATGAGAGGAAAGAGGTTAATCATGAATTTTTCAACCATCCAAAAATAAATAATACATACAGTTCTTCATCAGTACTTAAGATCTCCTTTGACTTGCATTTCTGTATTATAGAAATACGGAATTCCATATAAATTTTAGAAATATCTACTTTACCAATAACCCACTGTTAAGAAATAATACTGAGTTAAATTCACACTAATATATCATATAATCTGTAAGACATTTTTATTATTTACCATGGTAAAATCATCCTTTATTCCCAATAAATTTCATCAGATCCTAAGATAAAATGACTCTTCGCTTTTATGGAATCTTCAGAATCAGAAGGAAAATTATAGGTTTAAATCTGAGGTCATACTTTTGCTTTCTGCTAATGCTGCTGAGATGTTTGACTCAAATGATCGTATCCTATATAAATTTGGTTCACAAGACGTTTCTGATGTTTCGTCTTCCGTTTCATACTTTCTTTTTAATTCTGCAGTTCTTTTTTTGAAAATGTAATGAGTGATTCAGTGTCTGGAAATTACCAGACTTTATTAACAGCTCACTGCCATTATTTTCAAATGATCTCTCAAAACGCCTCTATAAAATTATAGGTTAATATGGTTAATATTTACAATAGATATAATGAGCCTGCATCGTGCAGAAGCCATAAATTATTTACCTCAATATACTCTATCTAAATTTTCAAAAAATTCAGAAATCTTTTATTTGAAAGACCGTTTTGGTACTGTCATAAATTTTTTGACCTTATTTTTTTTTCCTACTTGTACCAGATTCATTAATTCTCTTAGACTTTAATAAATGCATCTAAGATATCTTGTTTGCTGTCTGAAGTAAATGGAAATTCTGCATAATCTTTCAGGTACTGGAAACAGTTTAAGAAATTCCAGTCTTTACAATCATCGTCACTTGCAAATGTTGAAACATATCGATGAAAATCCATATCTAAAAAAAAAATAATGTATTAAGAATAATTTGGAAGGTAATTGCAATGAAAGCAAAAAATTATTGTAATTTCTAATAGACAATAGCATTTAACAATATAGTATACTGGAGACAAGGTCCAGAAAGGCCACCCTGCCACAACGCTCTTCTCCAAGCATCGGCCAAAGGGCAGAGACCATAGGGACGTAGGATACTAATATCGTTAGGTATACTGGAGAAGAAGTCCAAGGAGGCCACCACACCACAGCACTCTTCTCCAAGTATCGGTTACAAGGCAGAGACTATATAGACGTAAAATACCACTGGCGCTACTATGTCAATATCAAATTACTTAACTTTATAAATTTAATGATACAGTCTGTGAAAAGGATAGATATGAAAATTTTACGCATAATATGACAGGAAAATTATTGGACGCATTTATATAATAGGATGTGCTCACATGACAGCATAGCGTTTTTTTGCATTTTTTTTGCATTTTTGAATACGATGCATCTTAAACTTTATTAACAAAACAAGTAAAGTAATGTTATTACATACAAGAAGTCTATGAAAAGTAAAAGATACTAACTCTGAAAAATAAAAAAAATTAAACCAAATTCAATCAGTCACCGTTTGGCAACTTCATTTGGTTGAAATATAAGATTTCAACAAAGTTTTATCACTGCCAAAAAATGAGTAGTTACTATTCGCAAAGAATATTATGGCTGCTAAAAATGTATTTTATCAATTAAAGTGTACCGATTAAAATATTTATCATCTATTGATTGGAGTAAAGGATCGATATTATATAAGTTGGCAATAGCAGATTTATTATGAAGGGAAGGAGGTTTGTGTTTCTGATGGAATTTGATACCTAAACTTTTTTCTTTGTATGTAACTAATGAACATCTTGGAATTCAGATGTTATTTAATATTCTAGTGTGAATGTTATTAAGTAGTATAGAGAGTAAAAGTGAATGTTTTTCTGGCATTGAGTAATATTAAAACACTTGGTAGGATAACGAATAAGGAATAAAACATTTGATGAAATCAATAAAAGTAAAGTTAGTATGTGAGAAAGAAATGTCCCAATATATAGATGGAAGAATAACGTTATAGATAATCTCATTAAAATTTGCAGAAGAAATTTTAGAGTATTGCTTTAAGAGTGAGATGAAATATAGTTAAGTATTGATTATAATTAGTTTTGTTTTTCAATAACAGATAAGCATAGCTACAGATGATTGAAAATTTCTGGTTCTTGATTACATATATAACATAAAGATAGGTTTCAATAGAGGTGAGGATTTCGCATACATAAAATTTGTAATGTAGTAAGTTGTTTGAACATGAACTTGAGACATTGAGATTTGCAATAAGAAGAGATAAAGGTAGCAATAGATATAAGTTCTTCATCAGAAATATGAGAAAGGTATTTGGTTAACCTATATCCATTTTGTGATATTTAGTATTTCTTTTTAATAAATAAAATTTCATAAATCTGCAAATATGGGATGTTAATCAAAGAAATGTCTAAATGACATTGAATTGAAGTGCAATTAAATAAAGATAACTAATTCAAAAGAGGAATAAAAGTTTCATTAAAATGGATGAAGGGTTTAGAATGTGTTAACTTAACTAACTTATTAACTTGAGAATTATAAGGGACTTTTGAGTGAGCTAAGATTTTATGTAAGATAAGGTAATATTATTGGATGAAATAATATCAAGCAAAATTAATCACAATAAAAAGTTATCTATTTTGAATATTTCTCATGGATATAAGAGTAAATTATTAGAAAGGATATAATTATATATTGAGATAGCTGTAGAACTAGATAGCTGTAGAACTATCTATATAAATATTGATTATTGAAGAAGATAATGATGATATAATTGCACAAATGATAACAATCAATTTAGCATGATTAGAAAAAGATCAAGGTAAAATAAATAAAAATTAAAAAGAAATTGTAGGATTATTTTTTAATAACCAAATTATACTCATAGATTGTAAAGAAGAATGAAAAAGAAAAGAACTATCAGTATAAATTATAAGGATGGATTTGTGTTGAAGTAAATTAGTAGTATATAATAAATACATCAAATTGTGCATCAGATTTTATATATTTAGAGAATGAAGGAGGTATTAGGATGCGTTGAAAAGAAGAGTGTAAAATAAAAGAAATAGAAATGTTTGATATATTTAATAATTCATAATAAAATTTAGCTTGGTCTTTATATTATAAAAATCTGGGTGGTTATCCTTAATTGTTTTGAGAAGATAAATTAGGATATTAAAATAATAATTATTGGTGTAAGTAGAAGAAAAGGAAATATATTTAGAAAAATAAGAAAAATTCTGTAAGTAATATTCTTTATGTAATAAACATCTTTGGTATTAGATAATAGTATTCTGTAAATTAGAAGGTGAAATTGTTGGTGATTGGAAGAAAAAGTCATTAATCCAATGTTAAATTATAGCATAGTAGTCAAAAATAACTATAATTTATCTGTATATAGTTTATTGACAGTTATTATTCTAAATAGCAATCTATTTGGATGATTTGTTATTAAGTCTAAAAGGAAAAAAGTAATATCATGATGAAGAAGTATATGATTTTCATAAATAAATTGTGGTTTCAGTCTTTGTGAAATAGTAAAGTTAGAAAGAATAAAACATTCTAATTTCTTAAAATTTGAATATATTAGAATAGATACCATAATGTAATAGTTAGCAATTGGCTAATGAAATTAAATATTGTCTATACAGACTTATAAGTTATTCTAAATTAGAGTTCCGAATAGGTCGGATCGGATCAGGTAATTGACTTGACCTGACCTGATAAGGTCAGGTCAGGTCAGACATAAAATTGACCTGAATTAAATATACATTTAACCTGACCTGACCTGTCTAAAAAAAAAATTATTGATACATTTTTACATTTGATTATTTTTCAAAAAAAAAAAGATACTAATATAATTATTTTAACTACAGAATTTAAAATTACAAGTTGCGATAAATCTGCAAATCTGGTGACTGCTAATACAATTACAAAAAACATTCATAACTTTACAACTATTAATCCAATCATAATAAATTTTATATGCACATATTTTTGAATCCGCTAAACAATTTTACTTATGCGACCAAAGTTGATTTCCTTTGACCAAAATATTTAAATTGCTCTTTGAAGTTACTGTACGGATAAAAAATAAAAATAAAAAAAATTCGTAAAATAATACAATTACGAAAACGTGTATAATTTTACAAGAATTAATCCAATCATAATAAAATTTTATATTCACATATTATCGAATCCGCTGATCAACTTTACTTACGCGACCAAAGTTGATTTCCTTTGACTAACATGCTTAAATTGCTATTTGAAATCACTAAATAAATAAAAAAAATATATATATTTCGTGAAATAATACAATTATGAAAAACGTGTATAACTTTATAACCATTAATCCAATTATAATAAAATGTTATATACACATATTTTCCAACCTGCTGAACAACTTTAATTACGCGACTAAAGTTGATTTCCTTTGATAATAATACTTAAATTGCTCTTTGAAGTTACTGTATAGATAAAAATAAAAATAAAAAATTTGTGAGATAATACAAATATGAAAAATGTATATAACTTTACAAGCATAATCCAATCATAATAAATTTTATATGCACATATTTTCGAATCCGCTGAACAACTTTACTTATGCGACCAAAGTTGATTTCCTTTGACTAAAATACTTAAATTGCTCTTTGAAGTCATTGTACAGATAAAAAATAAAAATAAAAAAATTTGTGAGATAATACAATTATGAAAAATGTGCATAACTTTACAACCATTAATCCAATCATAATAAAATTTTATATGCACATATTATTGAATCTGCTGATTAACTTTACATATGCGACCAAAATTGATTTCTTTTGACCAAAATACTTAAATTGTTGTTTGAAGTCACTAAATGAATAAAAAAAATAAAAATATTTCGTGAGATAATACAATCACGAAAAACATTCTTGACTTGATAAGTATTAATCCAATCATAATAAAAATTATATACATATACTGAGCAACTTTATTTACGCGATAAAAGTCGATTTTCTTTGACCAAATTGCTCAAATATCTCTTTGAATTAATTGAACAGATAAAAAAAAAATTAAAATTAAATTATTGAGCAATGTAATTGCAAAAATGTTTATAATTTAAAATTTAACTTTTTGATTATAATAAATTACAAAGTAATTTTACAACAACTTTATTAGAATATAAAATTAAAGATGTTTTAAAAAAAAATAGACAAAAAAAATTTTTTTTAAATATTTTATTTTGTTTTAATTTGATTGGTTGACTGATGTTGACCTGAAAATTTGTCTACCTGACCTGGATTTTTCAGGTCGGGTCACAGGTTGGCCTGACCTGATTCAGAGCTCTATTCTAAATACATCACTGAAGTTTTGTATAATAAAGAATATTTTGAGAAAGAAGAAAGTGAGCATTGTTACCGGCTAAAAATTCATTATTAAAAAGTTGATCTATAAAGAATTATTAAATGATCTACAAAAGTTATTGGAATTAATTTATGTCGATCACAAATTAGAAGATCTGCATAATTTCAGATTTCTCTGATTTGTCTGATCAGCCTGATTCGTAGGATTAGCCTAATTTTCCTTATTTCTATTATTTCAATTATATTCGTTATATTTATTATTTTTATTATTATTATTATATATGTTATTTTTATTATATTTTTTATATTTCTTATATATATTATAATCATTGTTTTAACATTTATATTTACAAATTTAGTTAGTTTATATAGCATAGCAATTAGTTAGCCGTAGCAAATTCATTTTGTATAAATAGAATAGCTTTTTGCTCAAGTTGTAAACTAACTCTTTTGTAAGTTCTAAAATACTCGTGAGTTTCAAGTAATAAAGGAATCAACTTTTAAAACAAAAATACTTTTCTCTTCTATATGTCCATCATCTAGGATTTGATCGTGAACCACTACACTAACTTGCAATTGTTTTCGTCACTTAGAATATATAAATTCTCTAAATTTCCTAAGTCCCCAAACCTTTAAGTTCATAAACTAAGTGAAGTAATTCCAAGGCATTCTGGATACCTGTAAGACGTAAGATTCCCTAAGGTTGTAAAGTCTGACAATAAGGAAGTT